GCAAAAAAAATCATCTCATAGTGTAATTTGTATGTGTGGAAATATAATATGCCACTACGATGGCGTACGTCCACTATATTATAAAGTGTCAGAATGAATTGAATTGTAGAAATTATATTAGTCGTTTCTGAAACCGAAAGGAATATATTATACATGGGATGCGTACACCCACCCATACCCCAGCGTTTTTTATTTATTTATATCCAATGTATGTACGTATGTATGTATGTATGTATGTATGTATGTATGTATGTATGTATGTATGTATGTATGTATGTATGTATGTATGTATGTATGTATGTATGTATGTATGTATGTATGTATGTGGGGGTGGGTGGAGGGGTGGGTGTGGGTGTGGGTGTGGGTGTGCGTGTGTGCGTATGTGCGTGTTTGTGTACAACCACTGTTTACCTTTAACATGATAGATATGTATGGGGTTTCCTTTCATCGGATTCATTCAGGTTGACCATATCTATTTATTTATATATCAATTTGCATTATTATACTTATTTATTTACTTATTCAGTTCAATTTTGTCGTAATCAGAAAGATAGATAATTCATTGAGATGTCAAAGCAAATGATATGTTATGAAACAGCTGTTGAGGTCAAGATATTGTGTCATCGAAATATCGTCAGCCTAAATCATTAAACCTCAGACAAACAAATTGAAAACAATAAAAGTACTGGTCATTTTTGGTAAAAAAAAAACCGCATTTAAGAGAATGTCCTTACAACAGTCTACAGGCTTTCGAATTCAGGTTAATTTGATATGTACCACGGGACAATATATTCACGAAGTTAAACATTCTTACACAAGAAGAAAACGAGTAGATGCTGGAATAGAGTGGACCTGTCATGGTCTAATGGGACATGGCATCATGGTTTTGTGGGACATGGCATCATGGTCTGGTGGGACATGGCATCACGGTCTGGTGGGACATGGCATCGTGGTTTTGTGAGACATGGCATCATGGTCTGGTGGGACATGGCATCATGGTTTTGTGAGACATGGTATCATGGTCTGGTGGGACATGGCATCGTGGTTTTGTGAGACATGGCATCATGGTTTTGTGGGACATAGCATCATGGTCTGGTAGGACATGGCATCATGGTTTGGTGGGACATGGCATCATGGTCTGGTGGGACATGGCATCGTGGTTTTGTGAGACATGGCATCATGGTCTGGTGGGACATGGCATCGTGGGTTTGTGAGACATGGCATCATGATCTGATGGGACATGGCATCATGGTTTTGTGAGACATGGCATCATGGTTTTGTGGGACATGGCATCATGGTCTGGTGGGACATCACATCGTGACTGCTTGTCAATACAATGACATACAGGGTCTGTGTCCACTATTTGCTTTACAGGTCATGCCGTTTCTAATGAATCTATATTAAATAAGAAAAGTGCATAGATATTAGGAAATAATACAAATGCTGCGTTATTCAAAACGATCGAAAATCCAGGATTGAGAATGTCTACATCCACGAGCATTGGAGTCGAGGTCAATTTGTCTAAGGTTCAGGAGCCGCGACCGAAAATGGTACGTTTTCGAATTTAAGCATCCGATTAACCCATGTTGGCTAGCGGGGCATTCCCTTGGCAAGGGAGAAGGTATTGAACCTAATTATGATAAGCCAAGCATTCATAAATTCATACAGCAGCTAAATCTGTAATGTGGTTTAGATTTACTTTGAGTTAGGCTTGAAAACTGGTTGTCTTGTTTAGTGATTGCCTGTCACAGAATAGCACTAGATATCAAATGCATAACCTGGGTTGCAAAAATAAATAGCCAGCTTGGTTTACTTATATAAGTATGTCTGCTACAGAGGTAAGTATCTAAAAATGGAGATGGTTGAGGGGTGATGAAAAGTATGCTAATTTGTTATAGTAGTAGTGAACTTGATTCATGCATATGCACATACTGATTCTTGTATCCGCCTTGTTACAGGAAAATAGTCAAAATAGCTGTTTGCTGTCAAAAATGAATGTAAAAGAGACGGGTTGGTGGCAGTGTTGGTTCAGTATAAAAGTCACCAGATGCATAAGGAATTAACCTGATTGCCGCAGTCAAAATTTCACATGCATGCCTTCTACAAAATCTATATTTTGTTATTGTTTTTATATTCATAAAAATATTCTCATTTTTTTGCAATTGGTCATTCTCGGATGAAAATTCATCAAAAAAACTGTGCCGTGAGACCTTTACTCCATTTGTATTAGCTCTTAATAGCCTTCGTGACGCTGAACAACACAGTAAGATAGAAATTAAAAAGAAAACCAAAACCAAAACCAAAACAACTAAATTATAAATATTGACGCACTAGCATCCTCTAGGACGTTTTAATGCTTGTCATCCCTCCTCTAAAAATACATTTAAACACAATTTTACTCATCAAAAAGTCAAAGGTCGGAACGACATCGCCTAATTTCTATACTTGTTAATGTCGCCTACACTGAACCTATAGGAAATCTATTGTCACTTCGTAGTCATTGATAAAATTTTCTCCTACTTATAATCTTTATAAAGCAAATTGTATACTAATTTACAAACACGGGATAAATGGGTCTTATAATACTAATGAACATGAAAGTTAAAGTCGACACGCTCACGTGCGTTACTGACTTTTATAGAATCGTTCCTCACTAAAGTCGGCGTTGTGCCTCGTGTCTGGACGTGTCAGTGTTTTTACTAAAAACACTATTAACATTCAATAGAATGTGAACCAGATCCAGTCACCAATATTCACTAATGAATCGATTAATTTACAAGATATTTAAAGCCGCCAATTATTGATTGTTATCTTTTGGGTGCCTTACACTGTTTTCGTGCCCTCCTCCAACTGACTGAATCAAGGCTTATCAGTTACGAAATTAATACAGAATAAAATGATCATGTTTTGTATTTATCGATGCCTAAAATTGTACCTAAATCACTCATAAAGTTTACATAAAATCCTTAAGGCTTTATGTAAACTTTATGAGTGATTAGGTAAAATTTACACATCGATAAATGCCCAACCATGATCATTTAATCCCTATAATTCCAATTTACTTTCTACAATCAGATCAGCAGATTCAATCAGCAAAACATTCACTTTTATGTACTTTCGAAGTTTATTTTTCATTAGCATCTTAACTGCTTTAGAATACATAGCCCTATCATCGCTAGACAAGATTCATCGATTCTTTATACAGTGATACTGTTTGGAATATAGCTGGTCATGCCAGTGATATATTGTTATGGTGATTTTTTATATAATAATAAAACAAATGGTTTTTGCTGTTAAGCCAAGAATATTCCTTTTGTTTCGAAACTTAATCTTGTGTATGATATGTGCTGTTATAGCAACGTCGTTGTTACTTTCTACACATTTCGATCCCTTTTTTGACATAAGACCTTAACCTTTAATAACCTCTGCTGTAACATGTTGTTGAGGTGAAATGCAATTATTTTTGATGAATGGCATGTAAAGTCTGCCATATGCCTTCTTTAGCAAAAGGGGTGAGTGCTGAAGTGTAGAAGGTCTATGCAATTACATTATTTTAGCTTCTAATGGTCTAGTTTAATCTGTGGCTTTTCAATTTTGCTCGGAAATCACAGGAGTTGGTGTGTGGGAGCTTGTTGTTGTTATTATTAGGGTGTAAGGCGTTTATATAGATAAAACTTCATTTGAAATGATCGGAAACAAGGAACCAAGGTAGTTAGTAGAATTTTTCGAAGTATAAAAATTCCAGATAAGTAACACATGACCGTTTAGAACGATCAAAACATAGAAAATGCAGTCAATTCATAAAAATTGGAATTATTGTTGAGTGCATTTAAAACAGGCATAAAAATCAAAGCATGATCAAGATATTAAAATCCACACCGATGATGGATTTTTAGGCTAGTAAATCCAGGTCGCGAGTCGGATTTGTCCTGCAGACAGTAAATTACACCTGCCTGATGTAAAGAGACCTATTTTGAAATGGCCATCGCGGACTGAGTAGTTCAGAGACGAAACAAGCTGGGGTTGACAAGTGGGCGTAAATTCTATAACGTCTGCCGCAAGCTTCAAAAGAGTCAAGTCCGCGTACGTGTAAGGCCACGATTTCCGTTACACACAAACATTTTGTTCACCAAAACACTGTCCTCTATTTGCTTCCAACTTGTATGAGACATATAGCAAAATATTCTTTGAGACTCCGCGATTGTCCGTTATTTACACGTTTGCACTACAAGGAGGTATCCGCTACTATAAGTTGTAATATATGCCAACAGGTTGTGCAAAAATGTCCCATTTTATTTTCACATTTCACCAGTGACTGGTCAAGATCAGTCCAACAGTCATACTGATTTAATTTATTTTAATTTGGGAATGTCAATTACGGTAATAATTTTAGACATTTTATTAAAAATTTAACTGTTTCAAGAAAAGTTAGTGCGTCATATAAGTAATATAGTCTTGGTGGTGTACCTGACCTTAGAGATAATTTATTAGATTTTACCCAGAACGTAGGCATGTGGAGGAAATATATAAATAACTTTAGTTTGTATGCTGATACCATAAACAGAAGTTACGCTTTTTCCAATAACCATGCTCATGACTAAGTCGTTAGGTAGTTTAATAGGATGTGATAACATAGCTATACAGACACTTAAAGCCAGACACTACACTTAACATAATAAACGCGAACAAATGTATGGACAATTATAATATGAAATTTGCTACAATCTGGTAGAAATTAAGATATATTAAAATAGAACTGTTGTAAATTACGGTGAAAAGAAGTCCGTCATAATTTAATTTATTGTTATGAAAGTAAAAACGTATTTTATAGAAAAGAATAAGAAAAACAAACATCAAACAAACAAACAAATCCACAAAAAAACATATCGGGACTACACCTAATCATTGCAAAAGGGAACGTATGAGGTTGGTTCTGTAAAGATATTTTCAATGACCCTTTCAGTGTCTTAAATTACAATGAAAATATACAAATTTAAACGGACCACTCCGGTGGCCTGGTGGTTAGAGCTTCCGCCTCAGATGCGGGAGATCGTAGGTTCGAACCAAGGCCGAGTCATCCGAAAGACTTATAAAAGCTGATATAGAAGCTGCCTCGCTTGCCTGTCAGCATTAAGAGGCCTGTGTTAGGACTGGTGGACAAGGTAATTTTACACATATCGTACTTTTGTATGGAGTATCGCTATTAGGTAACCTCATATGCATCCACAATTTGGAGATCTAGCATAGTCTTATTTCTCAATTGATGGGCAACCGCTCCGGTGGCCTAGTGGTTAGAGCGTCCGCCTCGGATGAGAGAGGTTGTAGGTTCGATCCTCGTCCGAGTCATACAAAAGACTTACAAAAATGGTATTAACAGCTGCCTCGTTTGACGCTCAGCATTAAGAGGTGTTAGTGTTAGGACTGATGGGCCTGGTGTTGAAAAAATAAGATAATGATGTATTATATCCTCTTAAAGATAAACATATGTAGTCAATGTCACGTGGGTGATGAGATATTGCAATACTGGTGGTCAATGTATCCAGAAAGGTCGTTTAATATGTACATTGATACATATTTAGTAAGCTTATCTATACAATGTCAATGTCAGTGTATCAACTTTATCCTTATTATAATAATATTCTGTGTTCAGCAGACCAGGTAGAAAGCAAGCAAATTACGACTCCAAAATGGTGTTTAATCGTGGGGAAATGTTTCAGAATGGCCTTTCTTCTGTAGGAATCAGTTGGCTAATGGCTTTATGGGTCTGTGACACTATTATCTACGGAAAACAGCGGGTTAATTTCCTTATGGGGTTTTACACTCGTAAATCTTGTATTGGCGGAAATTATGAAAATTGAAAGTATTTAATCCAAATTAGGTTCGGTTCATCGAATCCTCGAAATGTAGAACATAAGATAACTGCGATGCCCTGTATTAAATTAGGTTGGGACATTTTTCTCAAGCTCGTCATGTCATTCTATTGCCTAAATCCCGGTTTGATGAAACGTCTTTCTGCGCATGTTGCATTCACGTAGTTTTCTGCCAGTATTAATTAAAACTTAGATTTTTTTCAAAGATACGTTAAAAATCAAAATCACACACACACACATATGCTCGGGTTCGTGCATGCAAACACATTCCGATTCTTAAAATACAAACATGTACCGGCATAGCCTCAATGGGCAAATACTTGGAATATTGTATATACAAGTCGGTATAGTATAAGTCTGTTTTCTACCATTTGCATGTGTGATCGACATTCTCATCGTCTACTTCAAGGCCTCCATTCTGTGATACATTCAGCTTCTTAATTCGTATAGAAATTGGCGTTAATTGCCTCTCCAGCATTTGGATGTTCTTCTGAGAATCTTGTCATCAACATGATGGATGTTATTGTGGTAGTTATATGGCTTGTAATGAAAAAAGCATATATGGCGTTTGAGTAATCGGACTGGATTTCTTTCCTCTTTTTATTGTGCACAAATCAATATTAATAACAAGTCTGTATAAATGGCGGGATGAGATTTTGAAATTGAGCACATATGATTATATTGATTATATTTGGGCAATAACTTCAAGGATATTGTAAAATTGTATACACATATTTCTTTTTTAAATCTCTGCTAGTTGATATATCTTCACGATAAATCACTTAAGGCAGGCAAATGCAGTTTGGAAAAACAGCTTTTTAAGAATACAAACAATTATAAATATAAAAATGTGCTAGTTCCACCCTTGTTATAGGTGGATAGGATTATATTAAGATACGATGTGTTGTGACGTGATTTGGATTTTTAACGTAACTTTAAACAATTTTCATTAATATGGATACGGTGTCTCTAATTTGGCAATATAGAATGATGGGGCATCATGTCGCAGACATGAAGCATCATGTCCCACACCGTCACATTATCCTAACACCAGACCTACCAGTCCTAACAATAACTAATTATTGCTGAGAGCCAAACGAGGCTGTGTTATTACCATTGTCATAAATCTTTTGTTGGACTCGGTCCGGGTTCGAACCCGCGATCTCCCGCGTCCAAGCGGATGCTCTATCCACTAGGCCACCGGAGCGGTCATGAAGATACGAAAATGAAGGTATAACGCATAAAAAATTTGTGTTGTAGGGTTTAACGCCATTTTTCAGCACAAGACAGGCTATACATGGCAGCCAGTATTAATGGCGAAGGAAGAACCGGGAATACCCCAGAAAAAGACACCAACCCTTGAGAAGCTACTGGCATACCTTCACACGTACCGACATTGGCCGAATGCAAGAATCGAACCCACGCCGAAGGAGGCTAGATAGCAGTGATCCGTAACCGCTTTAGACCATTCGGCCACCATAAAAATGTTCATTCAGCACAACATCACCATGGTCCTATTTGATCCATGACAAAAAGAAATAAAAATGTTCATTCAGCACAATATCACCATGGTCCTATTTGATCCATGACAAAAATAATAAAATCCTAAACCAATCACAAAATTTTCCCTTATATCACACAAAGAACCATACAAAATATTGATTACTCTGAGATGGCCCTCTCAAAAGATAACGCTTGATGCAATACTTGACTGAGAACTAACATTTCGGATAGTACGGATGAAATTAATTCCTTGCCGTCCCTCTCCTACACCCGTATATATACAGCATATGTTACCTGTGCTGTTTTTGTATAGTCACACTTGTGTCCGCAAAGGGTAAATTGGAATTTACAACGGCGACCGTGTCAACCGGATTAAATGTAATCATTGTCGTATTAGAGTTGTGGAGTACGGACAATTTTAGTGTAAACAACGACATCAAAAGGTGTCAGATTATCTTTTAAATTATTATTTATTTTTTTATAATATCTTTGTGTATTGATCGTTTTGTCTACAAAGCTTGTGAGCGCAAGGTATGTGTAGTAACCGATGTAATCTGCAAACCTAACCCACCACGGAGTAATATTAGCGTCAGCACTAAGGGACTTTAGAGCGTCAGTTTTACGTTGGAATAATCCATCAAATCTTGTCTCAGAATTGTAATTATTTTTTTACATCGCTTTCGTATTTGATACAATGTGCTCTTTACCATATTTCAAGAGCTGTCTCGAAATCTGTTGATACAGTGGCTTTAATATGGCCCGCAAGATAGGTTAATTAGCTTTGATACACACACACACACATATATATATATATATATATATATATATATATATATATATATATATATATATATATATATATATATATATATATATATATATATATATATATATATATATATATATATATATATATATATATATATATATATATATATATAAAACATCGATAATAATTTAACTTTGCAGTGTGGTTTTGTTAGCAGTATACATTAAGTGAAACCCGTGGTGAATATACTTATAATAATAATAATAATAATAATAATAATAATAATAATAATAATAATAATAATAATAATAATAAAAATAAAAATAATAATAATAATAATAATAATAATAATAATAATAATAATAATAATAATAATAATAATAATAATAATAATAATAATAATATAAAATTGACACTTTGCAAACGCTTTTTCCACTCTGGTCATAAACAATTCAGTTTTGTAAAACTTAACAAACATTTTAATTAATAATGTTATACAATGAAAATTCAAGACGAACTCGCGGTATTATGAACTGAGTCCAAAATAATCCCAAGAAAGTTCTTCTATTCAGGTAAAAAAAGATAATGAAATGTTCAGTGTAAAATCCAGATCCAAGAATATATTGGTGTGCCAAATGTCTTGGCTTGTTAAAATGGCATTGTCCAGAACTCTTTTGAATAATTCACAATAATTCTGTAATATCGTTAGAGTCCAATAAACACGTTCGATATTCCACTGAAGAATCCAAACAAATGTTTGTCTTCTCAATTGATACCAAAATGCAACATAAAAATCGTCTGCATACTTTGTGTTACAAAAGCAAAGTCAGGAAATAAGAATCAGAAAACTGCCCAGTCAGTCTCGCTTATTTTTAGGACTCAATGGTCGTCAAATAAGTAACAGAAAAAGTGAGAACGAAAAGGTTTTGTAAAATTTAGCAAATAATGTATTGCCATTGATTACAATGTGAAAGCTGTATAAATAGCTTACGATATTACGGGTTAAATTCCAAATAATCAAATCATTTTCAAATATAAGTTCTGATATTTAAAGTTTTGAAAAACCTTATTGGTACTCTAAAGTACACACATGGCTGGAAGTTTGGATATGCCCTTGGTGTCCTGTGTCGTACTGATGTGCTAACGGTCATTTGTTGAAGCACACTAATAAAATCCAGAAATGTATCTTTACTTGAAATTTAATTACAAATCCATGTCTCTATAACTTAAAATGTTATTGCTAGAGAAGAAAATCTTAAGTAAATAATTTGAATAAATAAATTTCATCATAAATCCAATACTGTACTCAACAAAAATGCAACCGATTCATCTCAGATATTACATCACGAATAAATAATTTTTGCAGTAAACAAGATTTTATACTCTTATTCCTGGCCTATGTTACACTTAGCATTTTCTTTAAAGAAAAGAAATCTGATGGTTTGATATTTGGTTCGTTCTCGGTAGTAATCTCGTCTTCTGCTTTTATATTTGCAAAGAGTGTGAAAAGGTTGAACATCTTGAGTAAAGACGAGGTACATACCGAAAGAAATAGTTTATAAGAGAAATGGTGATTCAAAAAGGAACACGTATATAAAATAAGAAATACCCCGGAAAAAATATTTTCTCCACACAGAAACTTGCAAAAAGGATGGGTATATATAAATAAATATGGGATTGATCATGATGATTCTGAATTATAAAACTTTTTCATATCATATTATTTCTATAGATTTACTATGTGAGTTGAATTAGTATGGTTTGTTCTTCAGTTTACCGTGCATTTATATACAGTAGCCAAAGGTAGACATTATTTTCCAAGTAATTACTGTTGGTAATTATTGTGTAGTTTGCGTGAAAGCAATGTGTTCCAAAGGATTTTCTTCATGTTATCTTATACAGCCCATACTATCCCAATTCATTGGCAATTACGTA